AGAAATTAAAAGTAGACGATGGTTTCAATATCGTCCTGTACGGCATATACAAACAGACATAACGTTGAATTTCTGGACCATTTTTTTTCCTTTTGGAATAAAAATTAGAGAATCGAAAAATCGTACTAGGACTTCTGTAATGATTTCTGTAAAAGAGTTACGACTTTGTAATCTCGCGCTACTTTAGGTGGACCAATAAGGAATCGTGGATTCATGATTTCGAGATTTTCGAGATAATCGATTGTGTCAAGCGTGTCCCTTTTAGAATAGGAATCTTAACTAACACTACACTAGAATGTCAACAATCCTTATGACGAAAGTACAAACACAAATATGAAGTTCGCCCGAGTCGAAATATCTCGAAACGCGTAGGACTAATTCGTCATTGGTCAATTCGAAGCGCCAAATTCAAATTCGGCGCACGGAGTGCGCAGTAGATCCCGTACATCTTTAAGAGTGATTTATTTGAAAGTCTGTTCATCTTTTAAACTTCTCCTGTAACCATTTATTTTTAAAACAATCCTTAAATATATCGCCATTCACTTGAACATAGCAAGTAAAATAATTATATTCATATTCCCGTATGTACAAAGTTCCTCGCCACAACAAAATATCAAGGTAATGTCACGTGAGTCGTGCATGAGTCTCGGTTTTATTGTGTATTTCAATCCCGTATAGCTTTACGCAACGCCGTCTTTTCTTTCCCCCTTTTTTCCATTCTCCATTTCCTTTTTATTTCCAACCGCTCGTGATCAACGACCTTTTTCTATTTTTTTTTTAAACTTTTTAAACCGTCAACTCGTTTTATCCCAGGTGCAGTGCACCAGAATTTATGCGCAATATCACGAAAATCATCGCTGACTATCGCCGAAATCGTTTGTGGCTCTTTCAAATCGTTCCCAAAGGCATTCGAAAGTACTCAGCATTCGACGTATTTATTAAGATACTTCCACAGTAAATTGTTGCTAGAAGGTGAGGGTAAACATCAGACGTTCAAGCACTCACTCCAACCTGTGAAAGAAAAAAAATTAAATACGGAATGAAATACAGAAACCAATAATCAAAGTTGTGTCAGTTGAGTTCTTCATTTATTCTTCATCCAAAATAGATTGACTGGAAAAAATTATGACGTATGATATTGTTTCTCTAGATCTATAAATAAATTGAATTGTGTATTAATTAATGAATTAAAATTGACAAATCAATATTATGGTATAAGTAATATATAAATATTTAAGTAATTAATTAATTGATTATTATTTAATTTTATTCTGTGTTTCAGAAAAAAATGCGTGTGTTTAGTGTTTTTTTAGTGTTTTTCTTTCTCTGAACGTTGCAGCAAAGTTGTGGAACTTTTAATACTCACCCCCACCCTCTGCCTAAAAATTTCTTGTGGAAATACCTTAATTTATTACTTTAAATAATGAGCTGCGGCCACAAGAAACTGTTATAAATTATTACTCCAAGAACTTTGGAAATATGAAATATTTCTCGGTGAGATTGAGAATTTTGTGAAAATTTTCACGTCATTAAAAAATGGCATTACTATTTATGCTGAGATGCAAGTATTAACCTGATTAATTCTATTTGAGTTTAAACCTGTCGACAAGGAATTATAAAAATCATTTTAATAAGAGAATAAATACTCGGAAACTGTTTGGAAACTAGCT